GGACGACAATCGATGTTCGGGTTCCATACACAGAAGAACAAGTATTGGGCATAATCGAATCAGGGCCTTCCAGGGGCACTCAGACCACAATAACTAACACTTTTCCAAGCACCAAGTAAATACCGAGGAAGGGATACGTTCCCACCACGTTTGCACGATACACACAGCACAAGGAGATACAAATGGAGCAGGAGTTAATTAACTGAATACGAGAAGCTGCTCGATAAGAGTGGATAATAAGGAGATTACACAGGCACTAGCTTGTTTGGAGTTAACCATTCAAGTGTTTGGTATTGTATGGTTTATTTTTAAACACCAATATTCGAGGTTATGAGAACAGGTTGATATTTCGAAAGTACGTTCCGCAGTCAACAAATCTCGTTGAATTTACCGTTTGTATAACTCTGTATAATTCCATGGTTACCGGAGTTTTAAATAATTACGAAGCAACAGGTACTTGCGCAATGTTAATTAGGCAAGTTACCTTGAAAAACATTGCTGCCGTATTTCTGATATAGTTTTTGCAAAATTCTCAGTTTTTAATAATAATTAATTTCTTTTACTATTTTTTCTGTACTCTCAAGACACCCCCAGACAACACCTCCAGAGGAATGACGCCAATTTTGAATCACCCTGTATTTATTTTTGAATATTTATATGTTGTCCATTTCTGTATTTTAAATATTTCTTTTCTTCCCCGCGTACATATTTTTTTTAAGTGGGCGACCACGACTTTTTAACAAGTGTCTGATATTTTACAGGGCGATTTCTCAGGTATGTTTAATATAAAAAGTACATATAGGATTTGGTGTGCAAGTCCTTACTTAGCGACGAAGTTTGGAAGTAATATCCATATTTACACGAAACTTGGTGTTTATTGCCGGTTGTAAATTGGCACATTTAATCTCTTTTTTAATTTAATTTTTTAACTCTGTAACTCTCTTTACTTATGTACGGCCTTGCGGGCCCATGTTTATAGAGACTTTTCATCTTTAAAAAAACTTTCATCTGAAGAATCACACAGTGAAATATCGGATTCTTAAAAAACACGAGGCATACAGGGTGTCCCTGAAATGAGGCTTGACCACAAATTTCGTAAGCGATACTAAGGCGCTCTAACATTTTGAAGTGAAAGTTTAGAAATTGATTATATTTTTTCTTTCCTGGGTTTCAGTCAAAATGTGAAATAAAAATGTTCATATCGTTTATTTCATATTAAAATTTGGGGGAGACAACAGCGCCATAATCAGATTAAAATTCAAAACAAACCCATAATTGGGAAGCATTGGATTCTTGATAGGCTTGGCTGTCTGCAAAACTTCATAAAATTCACATAAAATTCAAACAAATATGAAGTTTTGAACACTGCCAAACAATTACACACAGCCAGGAAAATAAATCAAAATTTAGAAATTAGGCATTTAGAAGGAAGAGTAACTTGGCTAAAACTGGATAATTCTGAAATTTTGAAGAAATTTTAAAACTGTTATTATTAAATGGCCCTTACAATAAATCTAGAAACAAGTAAAAAAATAATCAAAAATTTCCCAGCAACGGAACTGAGTTACTGCGACGGTGCGTTGGGTTGGCGCACCAAGCCATTTGCGTAGCACTGCGCCAATTCCTAAAAATTCGCTGAGTTATCCAGGCCTAACACCCGGTATAATGTTGAAAAATTTTCGTTTATTTTAGAGAGCCAGATTGACAAAACATGAATACCCTTACCCTTAAATACTTATACTTATTACCCTGATGTTAAGAGGCGGGTGCCGACCTAGATTATTAAACAATTACTTTTCAATGAGGCGTTGTAACAACCATATAAAGCAGACTCTGACACAAATTGGATGATAAATAAGCACCTAACTCTAAGAATAATTTTAGTTTTTAAAAGTCCAACCACCCTATGAAATAAAAATGTAGGAATTATGTTAGCATGTGAAAGAAAGGACATCTTAAGTACTGAATACTACACACAAAACGCTGATTGATACTGATTTATATTCTTGTATGGTTCTCCATCAT